ACATCAAATTTGGATTCGTCGCTATTTGTTTTATTTTCGCGACGTTAAGATAACATGCAAAAAATTGTTAGCGCCAAATTGTATCGTACGTGAGATGAGAGGTACACGAAAAAAACTGTTTTCACATACAATTACCTAAACATTGTTAGTACCATGCGCACAGGCTTTCTAGCCGCTAGGATTATGGAGGAGCAAACAATTCACTTTTACGCCTAGGTAAAACAACTTGCAAAATTTCAGCTTCACAAGTGTCGAATATCTGGAGAATGAAATTTGTGGGCAAATGTTTTAGATACACATACCATGCAAACACAGACACACACACGCACACATAAACGAGCAATATACGCACAAGAAACTTTCTATGATACGCGCTTTTTGCATTACGCAGATGCAAAAAAAGCACAGATATCTTAAAGAAGCTGAAATTTTAGGAATTCGCTCTTGACTATGTGTAGAACATAGAGATAAAATCGAATCTCACATCCCTTTGCATATACTGCAGTTTCAAGCCAAAGAAAAAACATACGACTGCCAATTTGGCATTTTGTGTGTGTTGGCGGAGTACTTGAAGTCATGCTCAAGTACAAGCAACTTTGGTAGCACCTACACCTAAAACAAGTTATTGCAAAAAATGCGTGATTCATGCGGGCACGCTGACATGTGTCACTATTTACTTAATCGTGCTCGCCTTGTCAAAATCTAGGAGCAGCTACAAATACACGTTCCGTTGCCGTAGTGTGGGAAGCAGAAGTTTCTTGTGAATCTGCTGCTGTGCTCATTTCATCTGGATTTGTCGCAAGAATTGTGTTTGCAGTTGATGTACTCACATTTTTTGTTGCTTCTGATTCTGCCTTATTGGTCTCCGTGGTTTTTGGTGCTTCAGTTGCTGTGTGGTTCGTTTTCTCGATCGTTGGAGTCGTAGCCGTCGGTGTTTTCTTCTCAGCATCACAGTCTTTCTTATTGTGGAGCTTGTAAATGTTTTGTCCCATCCAAACATCCAAGATTTTTTCCTGTGTGTTGCAGTAGTCTTCACCACAAATGCAGACCGGTAGTTTCCGCCGAGAACCCCGTAGTCGTTTGTAGCCGTTTTGCTCGGGATCCATGAAGCAGCCCTCATCGAAACGTTCTATACTGCAGTTTATTCGACTTTGCAGCTGAAAAATAAGAAAAGCGAATTAGTGAGAATGTGAAAACTAATATATTGTCCAGCAGAAAGAAGCATTCGGTGTTCCACTACATCATTTTTTGTTTTTACTTCACAGCATGGAGGAAGACATACCTCATTAAGGCTGTAGCACTTTTCATCCAAAGGAATCGCTTCCAACATCCAGTGTTCCGGATTTGAGTCATACTAAAATGCTCAATTTACTATGCCTTTATGGGGCAAAAATTCAAGAATTCCTGAACTTTGCATGTAACAAAAAACAGAAAGTTTGTCAGTGGCATCCACTGCTGCGGAGTTAAATCGTGGAAACAAAAGGAATTACGTCTGTGGTAAGTCACTGTGATGTCAAGAATCTTGAAGAATAATTTAGAAAAGCATGCCCGCTCATCCTCCGTCTTTGTAATACAGTATGGTAGACATATTACGTGTTTTTTGGCATGTGTGTTGTATGTCTACTGTGAGCGTAATGAAGTGTAATGAGCGCGAGCAAGGGTGGAGCGACGGAGCAGCGAAGATATTTTGTTTTGTCCCTCATTATTCCGCCAGCGAAACCACCTGAAAAACTGCCCAGAATTCACATAACTGTATTTTCTGATCGG